GGGGCAAGGGGAGAGGAGGGGAGGGAAGGAGGGATGCAGGGATGGAGGGATGCAGGGATAGATGGAGGGAGGGAAGGATGGAGGGATGCCGGGATGGAGGGATGCAGGGATGTAGGGATGGAGGGATGGATGCAGGGATGGAGGGATGGATGCAGGGATGGAGGGAGGGAAGGATGGAGGGATGGAGGGATGCCGGGAGGGAGGGATGGATGCAGGGATGCAGGGATGGATGGAGGGAGGGAAGGATGGAGGGAGGGAGGGATGCCGGAGGGATGCCGGGATGCAGGGATGGATGGAGGGGTGCAGGGATGGATGCAGGGATGGAGGGACGGATGCAGGGATGGATGCAGGGATGCCGGGATGGATGCAGGGATGGAGGGATGGATGCAGGGATGGAGGGAGGGAAGGATGGAGGGATGCTGGGATGCTGGGATGCAGGGATGGATGCAGGGATGCAGGGATGGATGGAGGGAGGGAAGGATGGAGGGATGCTGGGATGCTGGGATGCAGGGATGGATGCAGGGATGCAGAGGGAAAGCAATGGAAGGACTGAGGGATGGAAGGATGGAGAGATTCAAGGACAGATGCAGGGATGCAGAGGGAAGCAATGGAAGGATTGAGGGATGGAGGGATGCAGGGATGGATACAGGGATGCAGGGATGGACGCAGGGATGGATGCAGGGGGGAAGCAATGGAAGGATTGAGAGATGGAGGGATGCAGGGGTGGATGGAGGGATGGATGGAGGGAGGGCTGAAGGGCTGGAGGGAGGGATGCAGGGATGCAAGGATGAAGTGATGCAGGGATGCAGGGATGGATGCAGGGATGGGAGGAGGGATGCAGGGATGCAAGGATGCAAGGATGAAGTGATGGAGGGATGAGGGGCTGGAGGGCGGGAGGGCTGAATGGAGGGGTGGAAGGATGGAGGGATGCAGGGGCAGATGGAGGATGCAGGAATGGGGGGAGGGATGGCCAAGTGGAGAGGGGACGGATGGACAGGTGGGTCCATGGGTGGCTGGGTGCCCAGCTGGATGGGTGGACAGAGGGCTGGGCGGACAGACGGCAGGACAGACGGCTGGATGGGGCGAGGCTCAGCCCACGCTGAGCCCCAGCTGGTGCCAGGGCAGCGGCCGAGGTTACAGCCCCGATAAGGATCTGTGTTTATAGTTTATATTTCATTACCAGGTCTCCTGTTTACAGCAAACGAGCCCGGGGGGGGGCCCCTATTTACCTCGCCGCTGGGACAACACGGCAGCCAGGAGCTGGCCTCTCCTCCCAAGGATGATACAGCGCGGATCCGGTTACCCCCGCCACGCTGCCGGCGCGGCTCCCGGCGACAGGGAAGCGACAGCCACGTGCCAGGGCCTGCCATCCCCTTGTGGCTCCACCAGCCTTCCCCAGTGCCCTCCCAGTTTACCCCACAGCCACCACGGTGCAGAACCAGCACCATCCCGGCCGAAGCAGCCGGTGCGATTGAGCCCGGCGGCGCCAGCACCCACCTTTCTGGCAGAAGCTGGATGTCCAGCAGCGATAATCCAGCTGCCCGTTGACGCTGGTCTGAGCACACGGCTTCTCCACGTCTAGGATGCCCGGGCAGACGTCGGCGCACTCTTCGGCCAACTTATTGCCGACGATGTAGGTGTTGTCCACGGCGTCGGGCAGCAGGAGTCCCCAGTCGATGGTGGAGAGGTGGCAAAGCTCCTGGTTGCGTTCAATGCGGATGGAGCCGCGCAGGACATGGCCCAGGCTGTGCAGCCCCACGTCCCGCAGATGCGGCATCTCGAAGATGACCAAGGCGTAGCTGAAGAAGAGGTTGGTGCCGCGGATGACGGAGAGGTTGGGGAAGAGATCCCGCAGGCTCTCCAGCCCGTAGACACGGAAAAGGAGCAGGTACTCGGTGATCATGAGCAGGCGGGGGAAGCTGAGCCCCCGAAAGTCCTCGGCGCCCGTGGTGAACATCAGCAGGATCTGCAGGTTGCCCTCGATGATGGAGCAGTTCTCCAGCTTCTGGAGCTGGGAGACGTCATTGCGGATGTCCATGCTGCCGCAGACTGGGGTGGCGAGAGGGGGGGACCCCATGGGCAGCAGGGATGGGGCAGCCGCCCCCCCTGCCATCACCCAGGGATCCCCC